AATTATAAAAATTAAAAATATATTGAAATAAATATTAATATTTACAACTAACCTTCTATAGTAATACCATCTAAACCTTCTAATGCCACTTCGTCGATTATTAAATCTATTAAGTTAATTGATGGGAATGACGCCATCCTTAAGCATATTTCAAAATACAATATACCGAATAAAAAATTTGTCACATTTTTCTTTAATTGATCGTTTTCATGTGCTCAGACTAGGAGTTACAGTTTTAAAGTTCACATGTCACAGATAAAACTTATCCCAAACAAGAAGGTGGCGCTACATTACAATTTCGTATGATAAGTGTTATAGCATAGACAAGATACAGGATAGATCTAATAACCAATGTATTTTTGTGTTCAATGTTCTGAAATACCGATCATGTATTATTATTTATTTGCAATGGACCTAAGCTGGACATAGCCCACTGCCAAATTTACAAAATGTACTTATAATCCTCAAAAACTGTTCCAGATATTTCCATTGGATTCGACGATTGTGCTGTTCACTATACTTTTTCCCGTGACTACCGCAAAATACGTAACAGGGAGATTTCGATGAGACATCTGGTGGCAAGCATAGAAACCATTCAGATGAGAAATTTGAGAGATTTGCAAGTGCCTACCTTCGAAAGCATTCAGAGCGCCTAAGAACCCCATGCGTATTGTATGTACGTATACTTAAATATATATTAAGTAAAATTCTATTGCAATTAGTTTTTGTTGATAATTCTTCTGTAAATATAAATGTACGCACGTATTCTTCTTTATTATTTATTACTACAACTTTAAAATCACTTAACTGTAATATCTAACAAACATTAATGTTACAATAATACATTCTTTGTTTTATGATATTTTCAATACTTCTATTTTTATTTTTCAATAAGAAAATGATTGTATCAAAATTATTTGTACAAATACAAATAACATTACTTATGTGGAAAATGTAAACAAAATTTGTTAAGGAATAAAGTTTTATTTTTTTGTATATTACAATTACTTAAATATATAATTATTATAAATCGTTGTTCTATTTGTATGAATATTGTATAAAAAATGTAAAAAAAAACAATAATTAAAATACATTAAACTCATAAGTAAACATATCAAGAGGTATTACAGTACTTTTGAATATTAAGTGTAGTTTTTAAAACTAATTAAAAAATTGTATCATATTGTGGACTACTACATTATATTAATTATTGTAAAAATTGTAAATTTATTTATGTATTAAGTACAAAAGGAAAAAAATAATTAT